CTTGCTATGTTATGCTGAACCACAGCTCAGGTCCAAACCACGCATGACAGCAACAAATTACTGGGTGGGATTCAACTAATGGGTCCCATCATCAGATGGGCTTCCACTCGGGCAAAGGAGCTTTCCCTTCTATTCTTTCGCAGCACCCCAGAAAACTGGATCTGCTGAGCCAGGAGAAACGCCAGATCGGTGCACGGGGCAGACGGGGATGTGGTCATTCCATGTAGCAAGCTGAAATGCTTGCCCTCATGGAACAATGTTGAATTCCTCCCCCTATCTTTGGGCGCGCGTTGGCACCATCATTCAGCCCAGACACTGAGGTCCAGCTCTGAGGGCCTTCTGGCGGTTGGTTCCCTCCCTGCGAGAAGTGAGGTTACAGGGAACCAGGGAGAGGGCCTTCTTGGTAGTGGCACCCGCCCTGTAGAACGCCCTCTCATCAGATGTCAAGGAAATAAAGAACTACTGGACTTTTAGAAAACATCTGAAGGCAGCCCTGTTTAGGGAAGCTTTTAATGTTTGATATACTTATCGTGTTTTTAATATTCTGTTGGGAGCCGCCCAGAGTGGCTGGGGAAATCCAGCCAGATGGGCGGGGTATGTATACATACATACATACATACATACATACAGTGGACACTAGGGTTGCGAACGTGATCTGTGTGGGATGCACGTTTGCAACCAGCAGCGGCACAGGTTGTGATCTGGCGCTTCTGCGCATGCGCAAAGCGCGATTTAGCGCTTCTGCCCATGCGCAACCGCCGAAACCCGGAAGTAACCCGTTCCTGTACTTCTGGATTTCGGCGGTCCATAACCTGAAACAACACAATCTGAAGCGTCTGTAATCTAAGGTATGACTGTAAATAATATATTATTACTACAGTGGTACCTCGGGTTAAGAACGTAATTCATTCTGGAGGTCTGTTCTTTAACCTGAAACTGTTCTTAACCCAAAGCACCACTTTAGCTAATGGGGCCTCCTGCTGCCGCTGCGCTGCTGGAGCACGATTTCTGTTCTCATCCTGAAGCAAAGTTCTTAACCTGAGGTAATATTTCTGGGTTAGCGGAGTCTGTAACCTGAAGCGTATGTAACCTGAGGCACCACTGTATTTTTATTACAAAGTGGTGGGGGAAGTGGATTAAAACTTAAAGTGCCACAAGGAGTAAGAACAAATGGAGTCATGAACCACTCCCCTACCTCAACACACCCACAAAGGCACCCACCTCAACCACACAAAGATCCCCCCATGACACCCAGGTTTGTTTTTTTTAAAAAAGGGGCTGCTGTGTGGCGAAGGCGAAAGAGGAGCCACATGGGGAGGAGGACCTGACTGCTGCCACCAGACCCACTGCTCCCTCTCTCCCTCCCTCGCCCACCTACCTGCTGCCTCGGCTCCTCTCAGGGCAGCCTAGGCCGCAGGTGCTCTGCTCAGGCGTGGCTGCTGCTCCCTCATCCGCTATCAGGAGCAGGTGCCAGGAGTGGGCCAGCGATAAATCACACAGCATCAGTGAAGTTAACTCTTGAATGTATAACTTGCTGTTGAAGTGGAATACTCAAGATGAAAGGGTGAAATCAGCTATGATTAAATGGGCACAAGATATTGGTCATGACATTATGTTTGCTGACTGGGAACAGTTATGGACCACCGGTGTTAGAGAAAATATTATGAAAATGATCTATAGGTGGTACATGACCCCAGCCAAGCTAGCAAAAATCTATCACTTGCCCAATAATAAATGTTGGAAATGTAATGAGATTGAAGGTACCTTCTACCACCTTTGGTGGACCTGCCCGAAGATTAAAGCCTTTTGGGAAATGATCTATAATGAAATTAAGAAAGTTCTTAAAAGGACTTTTCCTAAGAAACCAGAGGCTTTTCTCTTGGGTATGGTGGGCCAATTGGTGTCAAGGAGGGATAGGACGTTTTTTATGTATGCTACCACAGCAGCAAGGATCCTTTTAGCAAAGTATTGGAAGACACAAGAACTACCCACGCTGGAAGAATGGCAGACGAAGGTGATTGACTATATGGGATTGGCGGAGATGACTGGCAAAATCCGTGACCAGGGGAAAGAGACAGTGGAAGAAGACTGGAAGAAATTCAAGATATATCTTAAAAATTGTTGTAAAATTGAGGAATGTTAAGATGTCAGGGAAATGGGAAACAAAGAATTGCAGCTGTAATTAATAAGTTAAGGAAGAAACTAAAAGAATTGATTTGAATAATTAGTTAATTGGAGGAGTTGCTGAAAAAATTTAAAACAAGGATGCAGAAAAGGGGAGGTATGGGGAAGTCCAGGAAGTAAGGTGTACGAAAATAAGAGTATGAAATTATACATGTTTATATGTTTGTATATTGTCTATTGTTGTTTTTATTTTGTGTGTGGAAAACCAATAAAAATTTATTTTTTAAAAAAAGTGAAGTTAACTCTTTATTCAACGGAACAAGGTCAACTCATGATACTAGGCCTAGTGGGTACAGCAACACATCCCGGTAGTTGTGAGGACTGATGGTCCTCACCATCCCACATTTGTTTCCTCCTGGTTACCATTGTTTGCTTGCTTTGCAGTCGTATTTGCAATACAAAGAAATATTGTTTGCTTTCAGCCCAACCCTGAGAGGAACACCCATAACCACTGTTAATTTAACATGTGTTCTGCAAACATGCATTTACAAAGAGCTCAGCCACTGAGAAATGAGGGGTGTGTGGGGGGAAATCCATGGAAATCAAGATAAATTTTAAAACCCTCTTTATGTACGCAACCATAGCAGCTAGGATTTTAATAGCAAAGAATTGGAAAGGCGACAGTATCCCCACCAAAATGGACTGGCAAGCGAAAATGATAGAGTATTTATAACTCGCAAAAATGACTGGGAGAGTGACAGGAAATTCAAATCAAAAAGTTAGAAGAGACTGGATAATATTTAAAGAATACAGTGGTACCTCGGGTTATATACGCTTCAGGTTACAGACGCTTCAGGTTACCAACTCCTCTAACCCAGAAATAGTACCTCGGGTTAAGAACTTTGCTTCAGGATGAGAACAGAAATCGTGCTCCGGTGGTGCAGCGGCAGCAGCAGAGGCCCCATTAGCTAAAGTGGTTGAAGGGAGAGGGGAACGATTAATCATTAATATTATCTACACATAGTAAATTCCTAGCTTATACACATAGTAAATTCCTGCACTAAGCTATTGTGGTTAAACAGCTCAAGACTGCAGTCGCTTGCAGAATCTAAATCAGACAGGTCAAGAGGCCGTTTCCTGCCTAACCAGCTATCTGAAACTGCTGATGTTAGCCACAGGTCAGAAGGTCGGTTCCTGCCTAGCCAGAAACTGCTGTTAACTAAAAACCACTAGCAAGATGTTTCCTGCTTTGCTTCTGCTTTAAGTAATGCAAGATAAGAGATACGAAGGGAATGCTTAGCTAGCAAAAGAAGACACGTGTACAAGGAGGTGGGAGGGGGTGCTTACTGAGCAGAGAAAATGCTTAACCAGCAAAGGAAGTGCTTAGCTAGCAGCCTTAGCCAGCAAATATTGATATGCCCTAAAAGGGAATGAGTTGAAAACTTGCCAGCTGATTGGGGAAGTTTTGGGGGAGGTATGGGAGGAGGGTGAATGCTTTCAGGTATAAAAATGCTTGCTGAACATGGTAACAACACAGTCAGATTTCAGAAACTATATTCTGCTGGCTGTCTCTGTGCACAGATTTGCAATAAAACTCTTTTCTCCAAAGAAGAAACTTTCCTGGAATTTTTTATTCTCTTCTCGGTCCTGGGGACGCGGGTAAGCAATTCTCTGGCAAAGTAAAAGGCATAAGCCTACAGCTTGGTGCGTTGGCCGGGAATTGCCCCACCCCAGGGGGGCCGGGAAGAGCCAGGCTCGACCAGGTGGACAGCTCGGACCGGAGTTTGCAGGCTTCAAGCGCGCACCCTACTGATTCGTGGGGGAAACCGGCCACACCGCTCCTGAGTGGGGACCTCGGTCGAGGGAGGAAAGAGGCCAAAAGAGGGAATCCGCAGCGGAAAGCAAAAGGTAAGCCCGAAGGAAAGGGCTAGGGGCCCAAGGAAAGGGCTAGGGGCCCAAGGGTAAGGGCCAGAGGTCTGATCAGCCTCACCTGGTCATAGCAGTACAGTGCTACCAGGAAAGGAACTGGCCGTGGCAACAGGGGGGGGCCGCCAGTAAGGTTGGGTGAAAGGGAAACAGAAGGGAAATTGTATTGGTATGTTTTGTGTGTTGCATGTTGGAATCATAATGGAATGATTTGTATGTTGTATGTTGCGTGTTCAGATACTCCTGTGAGTGAATTTTGAGTGTGGGCCGGGGCCTAGCGTTCCCCTTGGCCGGGCGATTGCAGGATTGTGCGTTTTCTGGCAGGGAGACCTCGTCCAGACCACAATCTGAATCGTGTGAAGTGTGAAAGAATTTACAGCCCAGTCAGGTGCGGAGTATCTGAAGAAGAAAAAAAAATGGGGTCTGGGGCAAGCCAATGTAGTCCTCTGGAATGTTTTTTAAACAACTGGAAAGCGGCCACAAAGCATGATGATTGGGGAATCAAATTGCGAAAACAGAGAATGCGGACATTATGTGAAGTTGACTGGCCCGCACAAACTAATTGGCCGTCAGGAGGAAGCTTTGATTTGCAACTAATCAGCCCATTATATCAGAACATATTGAATGTCCACCCCGACCAAATCCCTTACATTTCTACTTGGAAAACCAATGTAGAAAAGAATCCACCATGGTTGAAAGCCTGCCAAGGCGACGCCCCACGAAATACAATTTGTGCAGTTCGACCGGCAGGGAAGGCAGAAAAGCCCCCGGTGATACCAGACCCAGAAGATGAGGAGGGGGGAGTCATCAGACCACCACCACCCTATGCTCCACCAACTGCCCCTCCAGCAATTCCCCCAGGCCCAGGTCCCCAAGCACCGGGAGGAGCTGGCCCCCAAGCCCAAGCAAGCCCCCCATCAAGCCCAGAACAAAAGGACAGCGACTTGTTAATGAATGATGATTTAGAGGAAAAGAAGGAGGAAGGAGATGATGAGGAATTTATAGAGAAGTTGATAAGATGGACTGAGGAGAATAAGAAGTGGACCAAGGGACAAGAGGAACGCATTACGGCATACGTTAGCCCCTATGCGGAAAAGTTGGATGTGGGCCCCTTGTTAGTTGAGGCAGCAGAATGTTGTACCCCGGACAGGAGAAAGAAATGGCAACGTAAGTGGGGAGAGGCGGCGAAGAGAGTTATGTCTCATAGACAATATGAGAAAACCAGGAAGGGTCAGGCAGCAGGAGTAATGCCCCTCCGAAGGGTTTATGACCCACCGGGACCTCCAGGGCCTGGTGGGGTGGAGGCACCACGGACCTACACGGTCCAGCATATACCCTTTTCAAGTGCAGATGTTTGTAATTGGAGAAATCAAAATCCTTCCTTTGAGGAGAATCCAGCAAAAATTATAAAATTGTTTGAAGGGATTTTTAAAACCTATAATCCCACTTTTGATGATGTGCAGTATTTGATGGATGCGCTGTTAACCACAGAAGAAACTAGGCGAATCCATGTTGAAGCCCGAGTACACATGAGAGCACAGGGAACACCGGATCCAGACATTATAACAGGATACCCTGATAGTACACCGAATTGGAATTATCAGACTACTGAGGGCCAGAAAACCCTCACTACCTACCGCCAGAATGTGTTAAATGGTATGAGGAGGGCAGCCAGGAAACCCACCAACTTTGTGAAGGTCAGAGAGGTAGTGCAGGGGAATGAAGAGGCCCCAGGGGCTTACCTGGAACGCCTGAAGGAAGCCTACCGTCAGTATACTCCTGTAGACCCAGATGAGGCTGCCAACGCCCTTATTGTAAAGGCTGCTTTTGTAGCTCAGGCAGCGCCCGATGTCCGCCGAAAAATTCAAAAACACGAGGGTTCCTGGGCCACACCCTTGAGTGGATGTTAGAACTGGCTCAAACCACTTACAATCAGAGGGAAGACGAGGAACAAAAGAAAAAGGAGAAGTATCAAGCAAAGAAGTTGATGGCGTTGCAGGCTACTGCACCCATCCCTCAGAAAAGAGGAAGTGCCCGGGGAGGAGGGCAAGGCCGCCTGGGGAGGAATCAGTGCGCCATCTGCCGGCAGGAAGGGCACTGGAAAGGAGAATGCCCACAGGCCCACTTAGGAGGGAGAGGACGAGGAGAACGAGCCCCAGGCCCAATCCCCAGGGGACCTGGACAGGACCTAAAACCTTGGTCATCGACAAATGCTAGCAGGGGTAGAGGACGTGGACAGGGACCTCCCTGGTACCCCTCAGCCCAAAGGCAGCCCGGCATGATGAGCCTGAGAGAGGAGGAAGGATACTAGGACAGACCGGGCCCAGCTGCTTTAGGTTCCCGTGAGCCCATGGTCAAAATACAAACAGGGAACCAAACTATCCCCTTTATGGTTGACACAGGAGCCGCCCACTCTGTTTTGCCCATGCCAGTGTCCAAGCCCACCAAGCAAACAATTAACATAATAGGAGCCACAGGGAAATCACAAAGAGCCCCCTTCTTGCAATCTGTTGCCTGTTGCCTGGGCGGCCAAGTAGTCCAACACAAGTTTTTGTATATACCAGAGTGTCCCATCCCATTATTGGGCCGAGACCTGCTATCAAAATTGCAAGCCCAGATTTCCTTTCAACCGACAGGAGAAGTGACAATGACTACAGGGCAAACAGGAGAGCTTTCCTTAGAGGTACCCTTAAGGGAACACTGGCGCTTAATGATGGTAAAAGAAGAGGAGGGGACTATTCCAGAGGACCTCCTGCAAGAAGTTAACCCTGGTGTATGGGCAGAAAGCAACCCACCCGGAATGGCAAAGAACATCCCACCTGTAATAGTTAAGCCCAAGCCATTTGCTAACCCTGTGGCCGTGAACCAATACCCTATCCCCCGGCGAGCTGCAGAAGGAGTATGGATACATTTGGAACGGTTGCTTCGCCATGGCATCCTGAGACAGTGTCAATCTCAGTGGAACACCCCACTCTTGCCGGTAAAGAAGGAGGATGGCACGTACCGCCCGGTCCAAGACCTCCGATTGGTCAACCAAGCCGTGGAAACCCTCCACCCCAATGTGCCCAATCCTTACACGCTGTTGAGTTTAATACCTCCTACTGCCTGCTATTTCACGGTACTGGACTTGAAGGATGCATTCTTCTGCTGCCGTCTGGCAGAGGAAAGTCAGCCCCTGTTTGCATTTCAATGGATGGATCCAGGAACAGGCACCAAGGTGCAATATACGTGGACGAGGCTTCCACAAGGTTTCAAGAATTCTCCAACCCTTTTTGGGGTAGCATTGGCCTCGGACCTGTCTAGCTTCCCCACCAGCCCACACAGGGTCTTGTTGCAGTACGTAGATGACCTTCTTTTGGCCTGTTCAGACGAGGACACGTGTATGAAAGCCACCAAGGATTTGTTAAATCACTTGGCTGAAGCAGGATACCGAGTATCTAAGAAAAAGGCCCAAATATGCCAACCCACTGTAAAATACCTTGGGTTTGATATATCCCATCAGCAACGGACCCTTAGAGAAGAAAGGAAGCAAGCCATTATCCAGATTCCAGAGCCAAAGAATCGCAGAGAACTTCGTGGCTTCTTGGGCTCGGCAGGATTCTGTAGAATATGGATCCCTGACTTCAGCACAATTGCCAAGCCTCTGCACGAGTCAACCAGAGGAACTGAAAAGGACCCCTTTGTGTGGGGAGAGGAGCAACGGCAGGCCTTCAAGGATCTGAAAAGGGCATTGCAGCAAGCACCAGCGCTGGGTATCCCAAATCCTGAGAAGCCTTTCTCCCTGTTTGTGGATGAAGACCGGGGAACAGCGAAGGGAGTGCTATGCCAAAAATTGGGGAGCTGGCAACAGCCCGTGGCATACCTATCTGAACGCCTGACGCCCACAGAACAAGGTTTACCGCCATGTATGAGAGCAGTTGTGGCAGTAGCCACCCTACTGAACAAAGCTGACAAATTTACTTTTGGCCAAGACACTGTTTGTGTGACTCCGCATGCAGTCCCAGCACTGCTTGACATGAAGGGTACCTATTTCCTCTCCCAAGCGAAGATGAGAAAGTGTCAGATGTTATTGTTGCACCCACGTTTGAAGTTCCAGGTCACCACCGCCCTCAACCCAGCTACCCTGTTGCCGGTAGGAGAAGGTGAGGAGCAGACGCACGATTGCATTGAAGTAATGGATGAAGTATATTCCAGCAGGCCTGATCTCAAAGACGAAGCAGACCCCCACTGGCTTTCATGGTTTGTGGATGGAAGCAGCTTTGTCGAGGCTGGGCAGCGAAAAGCAGGCTATGCAGTGGTAGCCCTGGACGACCAGGTGGTCGAAGCAAAGTCACTCCCGCCTGGAACATCGGCCCAGCTGGCAGAACTAACTGCGCTTACCAGAGCCTTGAGCCTGGCAAAGGATCAGAAAATAAACATTTATACAGATTCTAAGTATGCATTCCTGACCTTACACGCCCATGGAGCCTTATGGAAAGAGAGAGGTTTGCTTACCTCCAGAGGAAACCAGGTGGCCCACCCACAAGCTTTGTTGAACCTTCTGGATGCTGTATGGGAGCCTGAAGCGGTAGCGGTTATCCATTGTTATGGACGCACAACTGGACCAGGGGAAGTGGCCAGAGGAAATCGATTGGCAGACAAAGTGGCCAAGGAAGCAGCCCGGGAACTGGCCCCAGCTCCGATCATTGGAGCACTGATCCCAGAAGAGATTTTAAGCACCGCTGACAAGCCGGCTTACACAAAACAGGAAAGGGACACTGCAGACGCCCAGGAGTTGACATTGACCAACGAAGGATGGTACCTCACACCTGATGACAGGATATGGATTCCAGAGTCCCTGTCTCGGCAAATAACTCAGAGATACCATGAGTCAACCCACATGGGGCCAGATGCTACCACCAAGCAGCTGGCAAAGTGCTTCTATATAGCCCACCTTTATCAACTAGCAGCCCAGGTTTCCAGAAAATGCCTGCTATGTCAAAAGAATAATCCCAGAACCGGACCACTGGCTCCCCCGGGAGTTCAGCACAGTGGAACTGCACCAATGGAAGATCTTGTGGTAGACTTCACTGAATTACCCCGTTGTGGATTATATCGCTACCTGCTGGTGGCAGTGTGCACCTACACCGGATGGGTCGAGGCATGGCCAACAAAGACTGAAAAGGCAATTGATGTAACCAGGTGCCTGCTTAAGGAAATCATCCCTCGCTATGGGTTGCCAAGATCCATAGGATCTGATAATGGACCAGCATTCGTTCATGCAGTCCTACAGGGACTGGCTAAAGCGCTTCAGATCAACTGGAAGCTGCATACTGCTTATAGACCCCAGAGTTCTGGAAAGGTAGAAAGGATGAACAGGACTCTAAAGAATCAGCTGTCCAAGCTGACACAGGAAACCGGGTCTAATTGGGTGGCCATGTTGCCCTTGGCATTACTCAGGGTCCGCAGTCTTCCGTCAAAACGGACCCACTTGTCACCTTTTGAAGTTCTGTTTGGGAGACCAGTCCCATATGTTAGAATGTTAAATCCGTATGTTAGCCAAGATGTGCAATTGAATAATTATGTACAGTCACTCTCCCGAGTTCTTTCTTATCTCAACAGGTGGACCCAGGCTCGCACCCCATGTGTGTTAACTGAACCGCTCCATCAGTTCGAGCCAGGTGACGAAGTGTGGGTGAAAGACTGGCAGCGAGCCCCCCTACAGCCCTGCTGGAGGGGACCATACACCGTGCTACTCTCTACCCCTACTGCTGTGAAGGTTGCCGGCATCACCCCGTGGGTCCACCATACTCGAGTGAAGAAAGCCATTTCGGATTGGACAGTAACACCAGATCCAGAGAACTCCCTTCGGCTGACCATCTCCAGACGCCTGGCGGACGACCGCTCTGCTGATATCACACCGGAAGCTGATATCTCAACGCACAGCTGAAGACTTGGATGGGAGGGGCGCCCGCGGGCAGCGTCCCCAACTCCGTACCGGGACTAATCCAGGAAGTTCACCAGGACATTTAATATTTCCATAAGGACTTTCTCTTTTCTTTTTGTTATCTGCTCTATGTCCCACAGCCCTGACCCCACTGAGCCATACCGCCCTTATTGGCCTGCTGGCCTCTGCTACGACTGGTTCGTCTTGCCGGTGGTAAGAGATGGTGTGCTCATTGGCTATTGGAGGCTGGGGTTTGATGAGATTGCCGTATTGAAACACCCCACTGCCCCGTTGTGGCTCCTCTCCCACACCACTGTCCAGCACGCGTGGATAGTGCTCATACGGGAAGTTGCAGAGACAATCGAAATCTATCGAGTTCTGGACCGCTCTTGCTGTTGTGGGAGGGTAGTCAACTGTTATCTGGGCGGTAGAGCAGTGTACCAACCTCATTTGATAGACCAGGTCCTACTCTTAATCCAGGCGATAGATGAGACGGAACCTGTCTTGATGCAAGTATTGCAGGGGTGGGAGCCTTAACCAGGTGTGCATTGAAATTGCTAAACAAGTGCCAGTAAGAATTGCCACCTCTGGTCACTAGGGAGGCAGCACGAGAGTTCAATCCACCCGACAGGGTTAGTAGAAAAATTGACCCACATAGTGGGAGCATCAGCTCACCGGTGGGCTCTCATCCTTGAGGCTCAACAGGTAGTCGGGCACCAATATCAGTGGGCTCTTCAACAATGAGCACACCCCCTGAATATTGGTGGGAGGAACCATGGAAGAATTGGGGTTGGTGGATAGGGGTTATCTCAACCGCTCTTGTCTTATGGATGTGTGTTTTCTTTTGCTGGCATGAGCGTCACAGGCTCTGCGGGAGACGACGGCCAGATCCTTCTATCCCCATGATGATCCTCATAGTATATCTTATGTTGGCTATTGTAGGGGGAGAGGCAAGGACTGGCAAGCAAGGCCAAGGGGGAACAGGTTTGTTAAACAAGACATCCAGGGGAGAAGATTACCATAAGATGTGGGAAGACAATGTTTATATCAAGGATATGTTTAAGTTCGCTACTATGTTACAACTCTCCGATTGTTGGCTCTGTATGCATATACCACCTTATGCGCAACGGCCAGGTTTGATGCTACACGGAATTCCCATTGATACCATCTTTAGCATAGAAAATACGTTGAACCCCGAGGAAGCTCAATGGCCACCTGTAAAAATAGCCCTGTCCGAGCCAGCCTTTATTTGTTTGAATTTTTCTGAAGGGTCACATCTAAGAGGGATTTACCCCCAATTGCCATTATGTCTTAAATTTTGTATTCAATAGGACCTGTACCGCCCTCTTTCCTTATGGTAATGCCTCCCGGTGTTATCAATCTGATACTAGCTCCAAATTACTGACAGACATGCACCACCTCCACGAAAGCTCTAGATCCAACTCTTCCGTTATAGCCCTGTTAAACTTCACTTGAGGAGCAATGGCACATGAGCCTTCTGTTTTCGCAAGCCTTCCAGTGGTCAGAGCAACGCCGAAACACCAGTCGCCTTCTTCCGAAGGAACTATGGTTGATTTGTGGCGATGCAGCATTCAAAACTGTTTCCCCGAGACCTTACTGGAGTCTGTACCTTGGGAATGGTGATCCCCCTTTTATATAAGGTGGAAAAAGCTACCAACATCTCTCAGGCTGCGTAACCGCAGGGCAGTTAATACACCTATTAACCACTATATTGGGACCCAGATATCACGAGCCCTGCTTCCTCTTTAGGGGCAGCCATGAATTATAGAGATCTCCATCTGCTGGCCAATTGGACAGAAGGCTTATTTCAATGATACCATAAAGCATTGAAGGAGCTCAATCGAGAGGTGACTGCTATGAGGGAGGTTGTCCTACAGAATCGCTTATGCTTTGGATGTGATGTTGGCCCTCAAAGGGTGGGGTTTGTGCCCTGGTTCATTCTCATTGTTGTATGTTCATCCCAGATAATTAATGTCAGTATTTCAGCCACCATCAACCACATGGGAAACAATGATAGCTGAAAACCCGCTGAAAGCCACAGGGAGTGATGCATGGGGTTGGTTGTATTCCTGGCTCCCTGATGGCAGTTGGCTCAGGAATGTTATAGTATTATTAGCAGGACCGCTATTAATCCTTTTGCTTCTTTGCCCTCTGTATCCCCCTGCTTTATTGCAATGCTTGCAGCAAATGATGCAAAGACTCCTGTCACGGAAGCTAGGGCCCACGGTCATCGCTGTTGATGAGGGAGTATAGGCCCATACCCCAGAACGAACCTAAGTATTAGGTTGTTCAGAAGAAGAGGAGGGATGAAGGGAGAGGGGAACGATTAATCATTAATATTATCTACACATAGTAAATTCCTAGCTTATACACATAGTAAATTCCTGCACTAAGCTATTGTGGTTAAACAGCTCAAGACTGCAGTCGCTTGCAGAATCTAAATCAGACAGGTCAAGAGGCCGTTTCCTGCCTAACCAGCTATCTGAAACTGCTGATGTTAGCCACAGGTCAGAAGGTCGTTTCCTGCCTAGCCAGAAACTGCTGTTAACTAAAAACCACTAGCAAGATGTTTCCTGCTTTGCTTCTGCTTTAAGTAATGCAAGATAAGAGATACGAAGGGAATGCTTAGCTGGCAAAAGAAGACACGTGTACAAGGAGGTGGGAGGGGGTGCTTACTGAGCAGAGAAAATGCTTAACCAGCAGAGGAAGTGCTTAGCTAGCAGCCTTAGCCAGCAAATATTGATATGCCCTAAAAGGGAATGAGTTGAAAACTTGCCAGCTGATTGGGAAGTTTTGGGGAGGTTGGGTGGGAGGTTTGGAGGAGGAGGGTGAATGCTTTCAGGTATAAAAATGCTTGCTGAACATGGTAACAACACAGTCAGATTTCAGAAACTATATTCTGCTGGCTGTCTCTGTGCACAGATTTGCAATAAAACTCTTTTCTCCAAAGAAGAAACTTTCCTGGAATTTTTTATTCTCTTCTCGGTCCTGGGGACGCGGGTAAGCAATTCTCTGGCAAAGTAAAAGGCATAAGCCTACAATAAGTGGACTTATTCAGCAGCTGTTTCATCAGGGTAAAGGAGGGATGAGACTACATGGCCTTTACATTGACTCTCCTGAGAGCCTAAGAATGGCTGCCAGAACTTGCTGATCTCCTTTTCCCTCCCAGTCCACTTTTCTGTTGTGTCTCTTAGATTGCGAGCTGAGGGCAGGATCTGTCTTCTCCTTGATATTTGTGGAGCAGGATTAGAATGCCAATAATGATTAAGCGCGCGCGCACACACACACACACACACACACAGACATCAACCTCTTTTAAAAAACTTTTTTTGGGGGGACACAATAAAGGTTTGAAAATCTTTCTGTTGCCTTACAGTGCCTAACATGTTAAGTTTTGTTTGGTTTTAGGTTGCATTGCCTATTTATGTTCTGTGAGATAAATCCTCTCACCCTTAAGTGCAGACAGGAAACAGTGATCCTTTTTCCACACATGCAGGAGCATAAATAGCAGGGTGGGGGGTGGGGAGAATAAGCGTACCTTCAGGGAGGGATAGCTAATCCAAGCTGTTCTCATTTCAGGCTATAAGCACTCTGCACATGCTCACATACTTGTTATTTGTTTGTATGCTCTAGGGCGGAGCCATGACTCCAATTCAAGCATGGCATCAGCCAGGCAGGGGTCTGAAAGCAAGGAATTTGGGACTTTTTGGTGGGAGGCGACAAACCGAGTTAATAAACCAAGCCTTGGATGGAGTTGCTGGATAGTTAAACAGTGTCTCCACACAAAACACACATTCTGCTTCATGAAAGGAGCCAGTTGCAGGAAACACATCTTCCAGCACCATCACTGTCTTTGCATGCTAGGAGAAGCTTTCCCAATGGGATTTCTGCTTCTGGAGCACATTAAGAGCTAATCAGATATAGACCCATTAGAGGTGTAAAATAAATGAAACAGCACTATTGTGTTTTCATTGATTTTTAAAAAACTAAAAGCATATATATATATATATATATATATATATATATTATTATATAATATTTATACCCACCCACAACAAGAGCTGTTTGAAGAATCGATGTGTCGTTTGATATGTTCACCCACAACTTAACACATGAAAGCTTATACCCAGAACAAACTTAGCTGGTCTCTAAGGTACTACTGGACATTTTAAAAAAAATATTTTTATTTATTTCAACTGCTTCAGACCAACATGGCTACCTACCTGAATGCAGTAGTCCAAGTGGGAGATAACTAGAGCATGCACTACTCTGGCAAGACAGTCTGTGGGCCGGTAGGGTCTCAGACGGCCTACCAGATGGAGCTCAATCTGTTGGCCACCATACATCCTCCAACCATCTCCAGATACTACACAGGACCTTCACCCCTTCACTGGTTCCGACTTAAAAGAGAGGTAGAGCTGTGTATCGTCTGCACACTGGTAAACACTCAGCCCAACCCCCCTGATGATCTCCATATTCTTCTTCATGCTCAGGCTATGAACTAAAACATTCAGCTTGCTGGAGAGCCACCCATAACCACTGTTAATTTAACATGTGTTCTGCAAACATGCATTCACAAAGAGCTCAGCCACTGAGAAATGAGGGGTGTGGGGGGAAAATCCATGGAAATCAAGATAAATTTTAAAACCCTCTTTATGTACGCAACCATAGCAGCTAGGATTTTAATAGCAAAGAATTGGAAAGGCGACAGTATCCCCACCAAAATGGACTGGCAAGCGAAAATGATAGAGTATTTATAACTCGCAAAAATGACTGGGAGAGTGACAGGAAATTCAAATCAAAAAGTTAGAAGAGACTGGATAATATTTAAAGAATACAGTGGTACCTCGGGTTACATACGCTTCAGGTTACAGACGCTTCAGGTTACCAACTCCTCTAACCCAGAAATAGTACCTCGGGTTAAGAACTTTGCTTCAGGATGAGAACAGAAATCGTGCTCCGGTGGTGCAGCGGCAGCAGCA